TGGATAATGATTCACATGAAACACGCCCACAACTGCTTAATTCTGTGTTGGTTTTTCTGGATGACTACATCAGTTCTTCTCAAAAACTAATACAACGTTAACTCGTTATCATCGGCTAATGTCAGTATCTGATTACCCTTCGAAAAAAGCTTCTTAATATAGTAATTCATTGGTAGAACGGTATAAGTAGAGTCGCAATAAAAAACCATATCATGTGAGTCATATCAACCTGACTAGTCCGGCTGTCAGGTAAAGGGAAAATGCGGTATCTACTAGCGTAAATACCCGCATGGCTAAAAGGGCTTTGGTTAGGTGGCCGGCTTTTATAGGATTTCAGAAAGCACTGGTGAGGAACGACAGTTTGAGTGAAACAAATAGTTTAACAATAAAATTGCGTAGAATGGGGAGGTAGGTTGGTGGTGTTGTTCAAATCTATCAAAAAATATAGATGGCTCAGGTTCATTGGGAAGATATCACTGAAAAACACTCAAAGTTGGATTACCTAGCAAGCGGACGTATTCTTTATCCGGGTGGACACAGAGGGCGAGGTTGCTTGGCAAAGTCCACGGTGTGGTCGTCCAAGCTAACAACTCCGTTGATGGATCGTTTTCTAGGGGGAATGTGACGACAATTGCAGGATCCTGAGTGTCTTTATAATTCTGCCCGGCCTCGAAGTTCGACAAGGGTGTGGCACAAGCAGTGGAAAATGGCATAACCTTAACGCCTCTGTAGACTAGGCCCTTCTCAAAAAGCTGCTTGAAGGCCCACCAGACAGACTCCATAAACGTTGGATACATGGTTCGGTAGTCCTTATTGAAATCGATCCAACGGCCAATACGCTGCACGACGTGCTACACAGGGGGAGGTTTAGCGAGAATAAGGCAAGTCTACTTTCCACTGTTCGCTGTACCGCATGACAATTTCCCTGCATTTGTTATTGTACGCTGCAATCCCCATGGCCTCGACATCGTGAGGACCGGTAATGTTGTTAGCCTTGTCTACCTCGTATTCCTGAAAAAAACATGATTATACAGTAGGAAAAAGCAAACTCACGACCGGAAGACCATGGCAATCCCATCCGAAATGTCGTTCCACGTGAAAACCCTGACTATACGCGTAGCGTGTTACAATATCCTTGATTGTGCCGGCAAGAAGATGACCGTAGTGGGGAAGACCGGTGGCAAATGGTGGGCCATCATAAAAAGTATAACTAAAACGTGTTTGCAGGTTGAATGCATATGCGGTGGCGGCGCAGAAAGGATAAAACTTTTGAGTTCTGTTATTTACGCCTTACAAGCATCGAGTAAAGGCAGAATCATGGCGGACAGTCTTTTTCTCGACGGGTTATCAATTTATGAGAGAGGCTGCCGGAGGATGCTGCTACGGTCTCTAGGTGCCCGGTTCAGAAAGAGCGATGACACTGGGCTTCCGTTCACCTGCAGCAGCTACTTACACTGCCGAAAGTACATACCAAAACGCACATTGGTAGGTTTTAGAAAAACACGGGACCAATTTCCTTCGTTTTAAACCCTATATCGCTCGTCTTTATTTCTTCATGGGTGGAATACAAAAACGCCTTCCGTTGTGTTAGATACCCTGCCTACTGCTCGTTTATTTAGCATTACGATGCATCTTCCCATCACTCCCTTTGCTGCATTTTCTTACCCCTAACTCTCTAGAAAGTAACAAGGCAGTAGGTTTCTTCTAGTTACTTCGTCATTTCCTTACGCTTCCGGCTGCAACGTCGCCGTCCACCCATATCAGTGGTGTTCAGAAGCAACCTGCAGATTCTTAACAAAAACGGTTGTGGAACTCTTGGAAACCTGAATAAGGGCAGTCGACCATTTTTAAGCCAATGCCAATAGGTCGGCCTTATGCACCCAGTAACGGGGATGTACAGCCCTGTCTCGAGCTCGTAGCACCCAGAGGTGCGGCTTCTGTGATTTAAATGATATAAGTCCCACGTTCTGCGCCCACCTTATCGAAATCGCAAGCATTTTTGGCCAGATAAAATAGCGCGAAAAAAAATAGCTAGTAACACTGGAATACTGCAGTAAAAAAACGTAAATGCATGTAAGCTTCACACTAGAAACTCACGAGGGGCGCCCCTTCGAGATTTCACAAGAAGTCTCAAATGCATTCAACTTGTGGAATAGCTCGATGATTTTGTCCTCCTCCGCTGGAAAACTGATGGAGGCAGGGAGGTCGTCCACTTCCATGCTTCGTGTGGCTGTAAGTAGCGGGCGCACGCCTTTCGTGTGAAGTCTACGCTTAACAGCAGCCAATAGAAAATAGACTGCGCCGCGGATTTTGCAGATACTCAAATGTGAGAAGGACAAAGACTTATTTAGTTGCCGCTCAAAAGCATTAATATTGTAGAGTGCATAATTCAAACTAATGTCTTTAAGGGGACTTTCATATTCCAACATCCATCGTGTCCTTCGCCATCCAAAGACTCCGCAAACTCTCAGTAATTTCCCAAGTGGGATGATATGTGATTTGCCCGTCTTCTTACATATCGGTCAACTAGCCCCTCGGCTCCGCAGCCATCTCCTTTCGTTATGACAAATGAGCAGATGAAGAAGTGCCTGAGTACCTTCAATAAACGTCGGAGACTATTTGACTATCCGTTGGCGTCTGTATATTTGACTTAGATAAAAGGTCCTTCATCGCTGACTAGGTTGGAATGGATTTGAAATCATAGAGGCTACGAATAATTGGTCGCATAAACCGGATTGCTGATTCGCATGCATTATGGGTGACAGAATGTGTTTTGGAGAACATGCATTTTCGGTTACATTTCCGAAAAAGCTGGCAGTAATTCTTTTTGTATATCCCTCTTCTGTTTATACTTCCCATTTTACAGTTGAGCTTGTCTGTACTCGTATTTGAGTGCGCCAATATGCACACAATAATAAGCCTTGCCTTGAATTATTGCGCCCTCTGATCCTTTTGCTGCTTGATGTAGATGGTTAGCGAGCCAAATTTCAGTGTTTGGATCTTCTTTATTCGAACTCGAAGTCAGAGCGACAGAGATGGAAGTTGTCGAGAATACACAAATCTTAAGAAATGTATGGCATTCTGAAAAATAAATGGAAGCAGTCTCTGATATTTGCTTAATGCACCGAAAATTAGACTGGCCGATTTTCTTAATTGGATATCATAACTCATGTTATCTGTCCGAGCGCATGTGTCCATTAGCTGTTATATTGATTACGTTGTCTCTGTCCCTGGATTTGACTACACGCTGATCATTTTGTTTTGTTCTGTACGTGTCTTGATAGTGGAGGGAATGTTGCAGAGCATACACACGCTCAAAAAAATTAGCATTTCCAGGCTACGAACAATGATCAATGGAGCCACGAAACAGCGGCATGAGTTGGATTTCATTCAGAGTTGTAACATTTTCGGCAGACCCCTTAGCACACTATAGTGCAAAGGTACTGCATTGCTGTAATTTCCTTCTCCTAGGAGAGCGAGGTTCTGAAGTTTGATATAGGAAAGAACCAAATATTATGCGTAAGTCACAATTTGGAGGTAATCAGGAAAATTGACGAAATGATCCTCTCCAATAGGGGTGGAGTTTGGGGTGGACGGATCCGTAGACTTGTCATGTGTAAACGGAAAGTGGGGATATCGCAGTAGGCACCGCTACAAGTGTATAAGGCTGGCCTTCTGGTGGTGGGGAACGAGTGGTCAACTGAAGCCACCTCCGTGTGGCCAACGCGGAAGATCGTGAAATGCTTGGCAGCACGCAATACGACCTGAGAGTGTCCGGCATTGGAGAGGTAAAGTGACAAACAAACACAAAAGCAAGATACCAAAGTCAGTAGCTGACTTATTTGCTGATGCGCATAAGAAGATTATTCGGAGATCAGTCATTGCTTGGAGCAGTCTATGAGTATAATCAATACCCTATACATCGGTTAGCTGTAAATACATCGCTAGAACTATCCGAGGATTCCTGAGGAGATACCGTAAACGCATTCAGCGACGGTGTACTTCAAGTTAGGTTTCGGTGTGGCATGTTTGTCGAGCGTGACCATGCAGTACACACGTTCCGATGAATAGGGCGGTAATAAGTCAGGAGCGAGACAGCGGTGTAATTGTGGAATCGTTCGGTATGCGTTGGCAAGTTGCCGTGCACGTGTGGGAATATCCAAGGAAGTCATTGAGTATGCGAAAAAGCGCATATTCGAAATGCTGACCTGAGCCGGCCCTGGCTGTTGTGGGGGCAGCGTAACAAGCTATTCAGTGCATCAAAAAGGTTCGAACAATAGTAACTGCAATGATATATTGAGTGGAGGTTGTAAGTGGCCATGGTGCACAACAGCCGAACGCACAAAGTATACATTCTAAAGCACTTGATGTTGATAAATTCCCATGCACATGAGAGGAGAGGATGCGTTAATGGAACTCTTTCATGCCTTCCGACGCTGGCATTTTGTTAGGCAAGACATGAGTGAGCCTACCTGCCAATGTCACTGTTATCCTGGACCACGCCAAGTGGTGGCTGGCAGGCCATACCAGGAGAAGGATGTGCAATGAGTCGAAAACACTTCGTCACATCTCGCCTGTTGCTGTAGGTCGGGAGATGGCGCGGGTCACCTCGAAAGCCATACCACTGGTATGTGTAAGTAGTTCAGTAAAATGAATTTGATGTTGCAGTTCAGTCGTGTGCACTATATTGGCTCAAGAGCATCCAGTGAGACAGATAAGAAAACGGAAAAATAATTAATAGCCGCATTATAAGATCCTTTAAGAAAACGAATATCTGTGGTGATTTAAGAAATGTAACTGAAGCGACCGACTTCGTTGGAAGTGAAGAAGGTTCTAGTGAGAAGTGCGTGGTCAGCGTTAATGCATAGATCTCGCCCTGGGCAGTTACAGGAACGCTTGATGATAGACAGATAACATAGAACTCTTGACAAAAAGCCAGTTCTCAGGAATGTCAACCCAGCGGAATAAAATACCAAGGTTTGGATGCCCGCTCAAGTTTACTATAAAAGGGCCGACCCTGTAGTGGAATTGGTGGCGCCAGCCACAATGGAGAGGGGTATACACTGGAAGAGGAGGAGGAGGAGGAGGAGGAGGAGGAGGAGGAGGATGAGGAGCTGTATTCTGTAGGGTCCCCTCGATATTTTCGAGGGCGTCTATAGTTATTTTGGGAAAAAAAGACCTACGCTTGTGAGTATGGCAGGAACGGATGTGTGCACCCTTTGGGAACTACTTCTATTGAGCGTCTACTTATTTGGCTCAGGTAGCATAATATACACCAATAGTATTTGTGGCGTCCGCTGCTGTTAAAGGGGCCTGCTTTCTCTCCGCCTTGATACAGTCAAGTCCCCCTCTAAACCAAATCGTAAGTTTCTACTTACTCCAGTAATTGGCAACAAGCTTGCCGGAGTAAGCTCTGCAACGTCGGGTTCGCTTTGCACCTCACACACAGCCGAAACCGGAGCCATCAATTGGTTCTATTTTGAGCCCTAACAGAGTCGGCTAGTCAGTGTTAGTTGTCTTCTTTCCCTACCACAGACCACGCCGTCACCCCAACCGTCCCCTTCTATCTATTAGGGGATTTGCATCCATTTGTTCGTGCCTCAGACTGCGTCAAATAGAATAGTATAGGTATATAACATTATGGCAATCTAACGTTTCCCGTGGACTTCATAGTACACAATCTTTTTCCTACTAGTCAACGACAAGATCGCTGAAAAACGTCTTCTGTTCTTTTTTATGGCGTCGATCATCGCAGGAAATCCGCTGCCTCTCCCTTACCGCCAATCAAATTATTGGCTTCCAGACGCAGAGGGCAAGCCTGTTACAGCCACGGATCGAGAAAACGTATGTTGTCCGCGAATAATATAGTCGTCCACAGCGTTAACTCCCCACAACGCGCCCTTCCTTATACGGCAAATGTCGCTCAGTGCATCCTACTGAGGCCTGACACCTCTAACTTCAGAATATTAAGATGTTATCGCCGAGGTAATAAATTCACCAGCCTGACGTTTTGGATTCTCACTGCAACCCCTCATAAGAGCCAGTCGCCGATAAGGGCAATGTCGGCACAAGCAGCGCAGTGTTTCTGGACCTCGAGTGCAAAGTCACCTCCGGTTTCATCGTTAGGGTTTGTGTTTTTCGCGATAAGACTAGTTAATCCGCTGTCAAGTAGTTAATGGCCGCGATTTCTCCAGCATTGTTCCTTCCTGGTGCGACGATCCCACTGCAGTTTGTCTCCTTGTCACTAAAACTTTTGATCACTCATGGCCTCCCGGCGTGTTTTGTTACTTTTTCAGGCAAATTCTTAGTATAGAGCATGAAACCAGGCGGTCACTACGCCTGTTTACTGACCAGTAAATGCATAAACTGTTTCATTTAGCACTTCTGAGAGCACAATTAGTGTGAATCAAAAATAAGTTAAGGAATGCATTCAGCCGTGAATCTCAGACTGAGTATGCAAACCTGTACGACGCTCAACCTGCGTTTATAATTAGAAGTTATGCGTGAAAAATGAGTGACAGTATAAAATACCTTCCATAAATTGGTTTAAAAAGAGTTATAATGAATGTGATTTGCTAGTTCCTAAGCAAAAATCATTGTCAGTCATAGGAAGGAACATATACGTGTGGGACAGGGCCGGTTTATAGGTGAGAGCACATACTGGTTCAAACGGTTTCTGTCCAAGAAAAAATTCTTAAACCGGGAGAGGCTATTCGCGTCAAAGTGGCGAGAGAGGGAGAGAGGGAGCGTGAGAGAGAAGAAGCTAATCGCCATCTCCTAAAGTCCACTTTGAACCGGAGCAAGGAGAGGACATTAGAAGACCGCGAGGATCATCGAGACGCAGGTGGATGGGGCTATGATGTTTCTTTGCTGACCAAGGGAGTCACCAACAAGGTGACGAAACAGAAAAATCCACCGTGGCCACCAGTTGACCCTTTAAGGCTGAAACGAGGGTACGTTAAAGCCCGCCATGACCATCTCTGCAGGGGATAATATCAGTGGGTTAAAAAATAGGGGATTGGAAAAATTAAGATAAGGGCTAGAGTTAATGCCAAACAGGAAGCAAAGGCCAGCCTTAAGTCTCCTAGCTCTGAAAAACTTAGTGCTCGCCAACTGACATCCCTCAGTATAGGAACTGCCGAAATCAAGTTTGACAGAAGAGTCTTCGAGCAAAAATTTCCCGAGCACTTTTGATTTTATTGCGGTTACATGTATTCGCCAGACCACAAAAATAACAGAAATATTCAGGGATGAGAAAAACAAACATATGATGGAATCTCGGCGTCATTACCAGAAGGAGAAAAATATGGGATATGAATCGATATATCGCTTAGCCCTTGCGGCAATTCGATTTGCTTGAGGAGATAAACTAAGCTTATTTATGTAAGTTGGACTTAGGTTTTTTATGCGGAAGCATTCTCGCGGTGGGATATTTTAAAAGAGCATGGGATCAGGAAGTTTGGTGAAGCCAAAGAATATTAAACTACACTTGGACGAGGTAAACCTTATTTCCACAAACATAATAGTTCAGGATGGCTTCTTTCAAAGCAAACATTTGCATTGTCCTTAAAATATGAATATGCATCCTCAAGGCCACCAACATAAATGAGCGTTTCCAAATTTCTGACTTCTGTCAAAATATTAATGATGTAAAAAAGGAAGAATAACAGACCCGAAACCGCGTCTTGAATTTCGTCGCTCATGATCGAGTGAGGCGTTAAATTGCAATTACCAACCATGACCTCCTGATATCGGTTGGATAAGTAGGAACCAACGAAGTAGACTAGAGGGGGCTGGATGCCAGGGGATCCCAGTTTTGCTAAAAAGCGTTAATGCGGCACTTTGTCGAAGGCTTTACGAAGAGTGCAGTAGATAAGTACCACTAACTGCTGTTCACTACACAGAGGAGTGATTAGATTTAAAAAGGCTAAGTGACAAGTTTCTCAAGATCTTTCAGGCGAAAATCCATGCCAAGTAGAGCCCATGAGTTGGGCAGGTAGAAAGAAACCAAAAATTTCATTGAAAACTGTCTTTTCAGGAAGTTTTGTTGGAGACGGAGTCTTGTCCACGCTCCGATGGTTATTAACGTCAAATAATGATTAATAATTATTTTATTTAATGCCAGTTTGCGGGCATTGTTAGGGAAGCGTTAAACACAAATCCGGCCAGCAGCGAAATAAACTCCCGTGGAAAAGGAATATGAATATAGTTGATGGTTTTTATGGCTTGGAGGGTTTAGGAGAAAGAAAAAGTGCTGGCGACAAACTTATGACCGTCAAGAAGGGAGGGGCTGCATGGTATCGGATAATATCAGTCGCCAATTTCCTTCATGAAGTTAGGGTTAGTCTAACCAGAAACGCCGAAGAACAGCTGTCGTTGTTGGCCAAAGAAATTGTCCCTGGTGAGACCGGCCATAGTGGTCAGAAACCACAAACGCCATCGCTACGGTAGAGTCAATCAGTGGATTCAGCACCCAAAATGTGTGGGAGCTTTTCACAAGCTCTCGACCGTCAAGAAGAGGGGGGGGGCGGTGCACGGTATCGGAGATTATCAGACGTCGATTTCTTTCAAGAAGTTGGGGTAGTCACAATAGAGGCGCGAAGAACAACTGTCGCTGATGGCCAAAGAAATTGTCCCTGGTGACACCGGCCATTGTCTTCAGAGACCACAGATCGAGATTATGACTTGAGAACTGGAAGGACCATTGAGCTGTTCCAGGTTTACGAGAATAATCCTCTCAGAATATAGCCTGAAAATAGATGAAAAAGCAACCTAGGGAGGTTTGATACTTTATTGACAGTCCAGTTCTTAATGCCGTCTGTTCCGGGGAGTAAGAGCTCTTAAACGGCTTATGTATTTATATAAAAGGCTTGGGGAGGTACCGACTTATGCAGGATGCTATCTGAACGCAGAACAACAGAAGGGACTGATTCTGATTCAGTATAAAGTTGCTTTGCAAATAGGGCACTAAACAATTCCGGTTTCGTAAGTGCCATCGATGAGGAAGATTTGCTGTCATTTAGCAGGGTGGGATTTCGTGAGCACACGATTCCAGCAGTTTGCGCCTCATACAGTCGTCTGCGAACATTTTAGGTCACCAGTTCATAGGCATCGTCAAGGCAAGTGCGACATATGACAGGGCTCGAATCCGGCACACAAGACAGCACTCAATTCCTTTGCGCCACAGGCTACATCTAATCGCCGGCACGCTTTGAATATCTCCAGGGAAATTACCTCCACTGCTGTCGCAGAGAGAGCATGCCAGTCATCAATTAGACGTTGTGCAAGGAGACCGAACCGGAAATTTAACCTGACCACCTTCATTGACCAGCTCTTTGAGGGCTCGTGGATGAGGGGTGAAAGAAACTACTTAGGTATGTCGTCAAAGCGCGTAGTCCCCGTTCAAGGCTATGCACTATGATGCGAACCAGATATACAACGCTCGGTTTATTTGATGGAATTTTAACCGAAATTATGAAATATGCATTCTGTTAGAAAGGCGCACTAAGATGGGATTATAATACCGATTATTGCACAGTATAATACCGAGATATTTGGTCGGACCTCAGTTCGTAGCAGTACCTGCAGTTGACAAACCCTAGCCTAAACTCAACCCCTAGCCCTAACCCCTAATCTTTATCCTTTACAGGCACGGCTGAGAAATAAGAACTGGACAGATATTTCAGTCACTGCAGGATGTGCGTTTTCGAATGGATTTCTTAGCAGTCGTCCGCAAAAACCACACCTGGTCAAAAATGGCTGCTTAAGTGGCAGTCACTTTTCCACTGATTTTCAAGGCCCTTCTAAATTCAAATAATGTCTATGCAGAGTATGCACAAGAATGCTCCTTCTTGTAATGAATCCGATCTTTTTCAGATTTTACACTCGGCGATGAGGTATGCTTTCAGCCCAAAAAGTTCTCAATTGGGACATTTTTAAGACCGTGTGGTGTCCACTCATTTGGCTCTGCTTCTTCCTCTCGATTATTACTGCTTACACAATAAACAACATGGTCCATATTCATTGCATAATCTCACGAGCCGTATAGGACTTCATCTCCATAGCGAAGAGGAAATAGTGATTTTCCCTTCACAGAAGACATGTGGTACGTAGTTTCTATTTTAAAAGGAAATTAACAATCAGTGGGAAAAGCTTTACTGCCTAATTAGTCATTTAAGCGAGTGTGATTTCTGTCGGCGGCCGAAAAGAAGCACATTCAGAAGTAGACATGTTGGCGTGACCAAGTAATCCTTTCTAATTAAAAGCACAATTTAGAATTTCTGTCAATATTTCATACAGGATTGCTACTTCGCTGCCTGTAGTACAAAGGGGAGTAATCGAGACACTCAAAAAATTCGATTCCCGCAATAACGTAAGTTCTAAGGGGAAAATGATGAGAAGGGAACACTTCGGAATCACGATCCACTCCACCATTGGAAGCACCATCATATTACGATCATGTTTTCTCAAGACTCCTTTCAAGGATCCTGTCTCCTCCTCCTCCTCCTCCTCCAATCAAAGTTCCCTCGTTACGATCGCGTTCTTGGCTTTTTGCTTTGCTACTCACAGCACGTCGTAAGTTATGGGGATTTTCCATTCTTCGTGAAACACAGCCTCTGCGCAAGCATGCCACATCCTTGGTATGAGGACAAACGGTATCGCAAAATCTCTCAAAAATATCTTTTCCCAGGACTGCAGACATCCTTTCGGCAGCATGCCATACCCCAGTGAGACCTCTGGCAACGTTGATACATCAACGTGACTTTGCAGACTGCTCTGGATCCAAGCGCAATTTGGTTACATTCATTCCGCACTACATTTTTAATGTACGCGTGTTCTATTGGCCATCCAGAAGTGTGTTAACTTGCGATTTTCACCTAACAGGGTCATCATGGATTCACTTTTAACCATGAAATATATTTGTACATATGCCAAGATCCTTTTGGCAGACCGCTGGCCTTCTTCGCCCGCTCAGCTCTAGGAGAAGCATGTCGTTTTCGGCCGGTAGGAACTGCTCCTATTGAATTCAGGGGATTTCAACTGATGTCAGTAAGTTCCAGCAATGGCTAGTTCTTCATTGTACCAGCGCTATGGTTACGTATCACGACAGAGTTGAGTAGCATTCGCAAATACGGTTTGGATTACCTAAAAGCCCATGAAAATTGTCGCTGACGCAACCTTAATAGGAGTCCACTGCTTATGACGCGAGTATTCAACTCACGATGGAAGCTGAGACAAACAACCAACTCCCCTTCTTTGACGTGCTTGTGTACCGGTGTACAGTTGGACAACTGCAAACTACAGTAGTCATAAAAGCCACATAAAAGCCAAATCAAACAGTTCAGCAACAAACATCCTGTCATGCAAGCGCAGTTATAAGGTGATACCATGCTAACAGTGCAGGTACTTTCCAAAAGCCTATACGTGCGTGTTTCGCCGATGTTTTGCCGCTGCATGGCGCAGCCGCGAGGAGTTCGGCTCGTCAGTGGGTCCCCCAACACTCCCCATCTGTTTTCTGGTAGATACTCCAGTTTACAAATTGTCGCTTTTTAATTTCCTCAGAAATTATATAAGAAGTTAGAATTGATCAGTTTATTCAAGGTCTATAGGCACAGACCGAGAAGCGCAGTTGTTTCTGCACTCTATTGCAAAGACTCGTAACACACTGCAACATGCCAAAAGATAAAAGGGCCGAATGACTGTACCTTCAGAGTATCTTCGCAGCCAATGGTTATCCCAGACATTTTATCGAGACAAGCAGGCGCCGAGCGCACAGTCGACGGCCGAATGAGTAGTAACCCGAAGTCTGAAGGGTCATTCCGTACATTAAAGGGGTTTCCGACGCGGTCTCTGGACTGTTACAACCCGCCAAAGTAGACATGGCCCATCGACCCCAGGCAGAAATTCGGCGTTCTCTGATGCAACCTAAGGACACGCTGCCACCCACTGAAATCCTAGCAGTTATCTACAAAATAAGCTACAATGAGGGCGACCGCAAATTTATATATGGGAAACTGGGCGGAAATTGCAGACCCGCCTACAAGAGCACAAATCGGCGACTCGGAGGCTAGACTAAAACTCTCAACTAACAACGCACATTGGAGAAATTGGGCATGCTTTTGATCTCCAGAGAGCTACCATCTTAGGCTCAGACAACACAAAAGCAGAACGGCCAATCCTCGAGATGCGGTACTCCGATGCCAATTCTATCAATGGACATTTGGACTTTCCTGGGTCATCAATTTCATAGAGCTCAGGACCAAACGACCACAGTGGAATTAAAAAGGTCACAGCAAGACAGCCCGACGACGAATTTACTCGGCGAGGAAGAAAAAGATCCGCCAGACAGACCACGCGATAGAAGTTCAATCGCCTCCACCCGACAAAGTGGTGACTTACAAAGCAAGCAGATAAAACGCCCACCAACCATCCCCAGAGAAGCCGAGGCAGCGAGAGAAGAGCAAAGTCGATAAGCATGAGGTCGACCAACGCGACATGCCATTTTAGTTCCTGGTAGATTAAATGAAGTTTAGGTTTTCACAATGGGGAGCCGACCAGGTTCTTCGAAACGTCAGCACCCAAATAAACCCGTTCCAGTGAACTCATCTTTTTCCTCAGATCATCAATTCTGATCTGTTAACTTTGCCATTCAGAGCAAGTTACTTATGCCTGCACTCCTAGTAACTCAATTTGTAGAAGTTCATAAAGTCCGTCTATGAAAACATCAGGGAAAATAAAACATATCAAGTCTCTTTTTGCCAAAATACTTTTAAAAAACTGTGCAATATGGAAAATCGCAGCTAGTCAACTGTTCAATTACGTGTTGCAAAAGGGTGCTATGAGAATTCGGTTCATTGAGGCGAGGCAGATTTTGCTGGAGTTCACCGGTAGAGACGTCGTAAAAATGGAAGATTCCACACGGCCACATGTCGGGAGGCTGGTCGGTGTCCAAGAAATAAAAGTACAATCATCAGGTGTAATCGGTCACACAGTTTACTATGTATTAACGGAACGTTTCTTTCGTAAAATTACTGTTTTTTGACGATGGTAGAGTTCACTGAGTTTCAGGACGTCATTGGGATATTAATGAACAATTTACGGTTTCAAGTTGCTTTCAATCGATTGCCCGGAAAAGTGAGTTCGGCAGGTTTCATACAAAACTTTCAAAATAAAACAGCAAGTTCACGAAAGATTTTGTATGCAGGCAACGATTTAGATACCACTCATAGACCCAACAAACAGTAAAAAATGGGACGGTATTTTGCCGAAGAATGTTTGTATACTTCATCTTTTTGCTGTAATATCAGAAAGAATTGGGATGTTTGAACCGATAATTCTGCAAGACACTGGAAGAGTTCCTGTTGCAGATGAAAACATGTATTTTCTGCCTACATTAAGGTCATTTTTGATATCTTCTCCCACTTTTGGCTTTCGCCCTACGATTACAAATACACCACACAGAGGCCACATGAATACGAAAATATTATGCAAACTAAGAATGTCCGGCCCACTTCCTTTCTAAATTACGAATTAGCAGAAGCCAGAAAGCGTAGAACATATCTTATCATGTGCTGTGGAATCAAAATAGCCGCCTTATGGTAGGTCTTTTTGGCGGTTATTAGTGGAATATTGGCAGACACAAGGAAAATATGGGAGTGTTTGTGGGCGTTACTACTGCGTTTTAGGACAAAAAATCTTACAGATTCGCGAATGTTTATTTCCTTGCAAGGGGTTAATTTGTCTTCTTCTGAAAATAAGGTGTTCACTTGTACTTCGCTCCATCTGAGTTATTCGGAATAAAAAGTCGACTTTTCTATAGGTGAAAGTTGTTTTGATAACGTTTTTTTCGTTTAACCTAATGCTCTCTCTCGCAGGCAAACGCCCGCTGATGCATAGATGCGGTATGTGAAAATAGGAAATGGCCTGGCCATCAGGCGCCGTCGGTCTTTGCCTAAGTTTGTAAACTTTTTACTGGGAAATAATGACTTAGTTACGAATGTTGTCCGAGAATAGGAATTTTTAGAAACGCGTAAGGCGAATAAGTAAAATGAGTAACTTTTGAGATGCCTCGAAATGATCGGCCAAATTTTCATGATTATATTTCATGAGTTACGTCACCTACTATATATGTACATCTTTGTTTATCACGGTGTGCCAAGCGCCGTGGCTTGGAAAACTGCCGACTGACGCCTCAACTCAGACAGCTGCGTGTGTGTGCCTGTGCGGAGTGGCGGACTGGTGGGTCATGAGACGGGCCGAAACGGCTCCTTCTTAACGTGGCCTCTGGCACTCTCACGTATATGAGGATTGTGTGTGTGGGCCCCCAAACGGACCACATGTTAGATGTGCTAGACCAGCACGGGGGCCACAACGGATTCTGGCAGACGCTGTCTGCGCGCAGTAGCAAATGCCAACATGTAGGGGGTGCTCTGGCAGTCCCTGTTGTCGACAGCCGTCGCACAACTGGGATCACTGTCACGCCCTCCATATTTGTGGCGGTAAAAATCCTGGTTATTTGTTGTGTGGACCAGGGGGTGCGGTGTGGTGCGCCAAGGTGAGGATCCGTCCGAGCCATCCACCTGCGGCCTCCTTCGTCTCCGGTCTTCTTGACTCTGTCTTGACGCCGAACTCAGGCGGGGAAGGAGGAGAGAGTGTGGGTAGATGCAGCGCAAGTCTACTGGCACTTTAAACTCCTGCGCAAGTCACTATCCCTGCTCCCACCTCTGCTGTGGGGCACACGATGGACATAATCGAAATCGATGGTCGAACCATCGTGTGTGTATGTGTGTTTGTGTGGGGTATATGGGTGTCAGCGGTGGGTTCACGTGATGGTCGTGGTGGTCGCTCACTTGCTTGCAGGTGAGACTACGCCTAGCGTTCACTTGCTGGCACTCAACTCTAACCTGTGGCTCCACGTAGCTGGGCTCTGCTCAGCGGACACACCCCGGCAACCGTCTCGACCGGCGGGGTAAACCATGTGAGGGGGCCCTGTGCGCTGTGCCGTGTGCACAGGGTTTGCGGATTCCGCTGGATGGACGGTCGGATGGAACCTTGCGTCGGCACCGTCGTGACGTGGTTCGTCTCTGCACGCCGCTGGACAGCCGGTGACGTGATGCATCTCCACATCGACATTGCCTTGACGCGCCCATCTACGCCGCCGGAGACAGCGGTTTACGGCGAATTCGAGTCGCTCTCCACTACAACACGAAGTCGTGGCCCTATAGTGGAGTTCGGCCGTGCCACAACGGCAAATGGCAGCCATATTCAGGGATGGCACTGCCAGCCCCCGCGAGGGGAGGGGCCTCGAAAAGGTGGCCTAAACATTGCTGGGCACCACGCCGTCTTCAGGCTAGCCAGGGCCGCAGACGTCTAATCAAGGTCGAAACAATCAAAGTCGAAACAACAACAATACCAATAACAACAACAACACTACTCGCTCACCTCCTCATCCTACCTCTTCTTCCTCTTCCTCTGCCTATTCTTCTCCTTCGTCACATCCTTCTCCATCTCCCTCCCGCCGCCCCACTCGTCGCCACTCTGGCAGCCTGGAATGTTCGTTCCCTTTTAGACAATCCGAGGAGCAACCGACCGGAACGGAGGACGGCGCTAGATGCACGAGAACTGGCCCGCTACAAGGTGGACATCGCCGCACTCAGCGAGACCCGATTCTCCGAACAAGGCAAACTGGAGGAGGTGGGTGCCGGCTGCACCTTCTTCTGGAGTGGTCGACCCAGGGCAGAGCGACGCGACGCGGGTGTTGCCTTCACCACCCTGAACGACATCGTGGAACGACTGTCCTGTCTGCCGCAGGACATCAACGATCGCCCGATGAGCCTCCGTCTGCCTCTCCGCGGGCGGGCAAATTTGCCACCATCATCAGCGCCTACTCTCCGCCGATGAGCAGCCCCGACGCCGCCGCCGTCAGAGACAAATTTACGAGGACCTGCACGCCCTCTTGGCGACTGTGTCGAAGGCGGACAAGCTGATTGTCCTTGGTGACTTCAACGTCCGCGTCGGCACAGACCATACTGCCTGGAGAGGAGTACTGGGTCCCCACGGTCTCCGCGGCTCCAACGACAACAGACTGCTGCTGCTCCGCACCTGCGCAGAACACCGCCTCATCCTGACGAACACCCTCTTCTGTCTGCCGGAGCGAGAGAAGGCCACCTGGCGGCATCCTCGGTCGCGTCAGTGGCACCTGCTGAACTACTTCCTCGTCCGGAGGCGAGATCAGCGGGACGTGCTGATGACGAAGGCGATCGCGGGTGCTGACGGGTGGACCGACCATCGCCTCGTCATCTCGAAGATGCGTATTCGCCTACAGCCTCGCAGGAGACCACAAGGTAAGCGACTCCTAGGTAAGCTGAATGTTGCCTTGTTATCTTTGCCTGCTCACTGTCTCCATTTCAGCAATGAGCTAGCTCACCGGCTGCCGCTGACGACGCCGCCGCTGCCGAGAACGCCTCCGTGGAGAACCACTGGTGTCAACTGCGAGACACGGTTCAGTCGACGGCGCTCGCCGTCCTCGGTCGCGCTCCCCGTCAACACCAGGACTGGTTCGACGACAACGACGCCGCCATCAGAAATCTGCTCGCTGAGAAGAACCGCCTACACAATGCCTACGTAGATCACCCCACTGAGGACAACAAAGCTGCCTTCTACCGCAGTCGCCGCCAACTTCAGTAACGACTGTGCGAGATGCAGGACGCCTGGACTGCTCGCAAAGCTGAGGAGATCCAAGGCTACGCGGACCGCAACGAATGGAAGAACTTCTTCTCCGCGATCAAAGCTGTCTACGGTCCGCCGACGAAGGGCACTGCTCCTCTCCTCAGCGCCGACGGCAGCACTCTCCTGACTAAGAAGACACAAACCCAGCAGCGATGGGCCGAGCATTTCGGAGGCGTCGTCAATCGCCCTTCCGCCATCTCCGACGCCGCCATCGAGCGTTTGCCGCAAGTTGAGACCAACGCGGACCTCGACCTCCCGCCATCTCTCCAGGAAACCATCAGGGCCGTGCAGCAGCTCTCTAGCGGGAAAGCACCCGGATCGGACGCGATCCCTGCTGAGGTCTACAAGCATGGAGGTCTCCAACTGATGGATCACCTGACTGCGCTCTTCCAGGAGATATGGCGTCAAGGCAAAGTCCCGCAAGATTTCAAAGACGCAACCATCGTGCTTCTCTACAAGAGCAAAGGGAATCGCCAAGTCTGTGACAATCACCGTGGCATCTCCTTGCTGAACAATCGCCGGGAAGATCTTCGCTCGAATCCTCCTCAACCGTCTCAATAGCCATCTCGAACAGGGCCTTCTGCCTAAAAGCCAATGCGGCTTCTGTCATCATCGTGGGACCACGGATATGATCTTCGCCGCCCATCAACTTCAGGAGAAGTGCCAGGAGATGCGGACTCGCCTGTACTCTACCTTCGTGGACCTGCCAAAAGCCTTCGACACGGTGAATGGTGAAGGACTGTGGAAGATCATGCAGAAATTCGGCTGTCTAGAGTGATTCACTCAGATGGTGCGTCAGCAGCACGACGGTATGATGGCGCGAGTCACGGACAACGGAGCTATCTCAGAGGCATTCGCAGTGACCAATGGAGTGAAGCAGGGATGCGCGCTGGCGCCTACCCTCTTCAGTCTTATGTTCTCTGCCATGCTGATGGACGCCTACCGTGATGAACGCCCCGGGATCCGCATCGCCTACAGGACGGACGGTCACCTTCTGAATCAACAGCGGATGCACTTCCAATCACGTGTCTCCACAACCACCGTTCACGAACTTCTCTTCGCCGACGACTGCGCCCTGAACACGACCTCGGTAGAGGAGATGCAACGGAGCATGGACCTGTTCTCTGCCGCCTGCGAGAACTTCGGTCTGGTCATTAACAGGCAGAAGACGGTGGTGACGCATCAACCGTCACCCAACTCAGCCACAGCCCCCAACGCGCCGCAAATCAGCGTGAACGGAACCCAACTACAAGTGGTGGAGAACTTCCCGTACCTAGGCAGTACCCTCTCTCGCAACACCAAGATCGATGACGAAGTCGCCAACAGGATCTTAAAAGCCATTCAAGCCTTTGGCCGACTCCAAAGCGCAGTTTGGAATCGTCACGGTCTTCAACTGAGCTCGAAGCTGAAGATGTACAAGGCCGTCATTCTGCCGACGCTGCAATACGGAGCGGAGACTTGGATGGTGTACACAAAGCAGGCACGCCTACTGAACCACTTCCACCTCAGTTGTCTTCGTCGCATCCTGAGGCTGAACTGGCAGGACCGCATCCCGGACACTGATGTGCTGGAACGGACGGGAATCCTCAGCATCTACACCATGCTGAGACAAATGCAGCTGCGCTGGAGCGGCCACCTGGTGCGCATGGACGACGAGCGGCTACCCAAACTACTCTTCTACGGAGACGTCGCGACGGGTTCTCGCCGTCAAGGAGGCCACATTTGCCGTTACAGGGGTACCTTGAAGTCCTCCCTGAAGCGCCTGCAAATCAACACGGCCAATTGGGAAGAGCTCGCACTCGATCGACCGACCTGTAAGCGGACTGTGAAAACAGGCGCTGCTATCTTCGAAGCCAACAGTATCGCCGCCGCCAAAGTGAAACGCGAAGTTCGCAAATCACGACTTCGCCCAGTACGCAACGCCGCCGCACAACCGCTTCCAACGTGTCCTCGATGCCAACGAACATTCCGGGCTCACATCGGACTCGTTGGATATCTGCGGATCAACTGCGCCTCTCGAACTGCACCAACCGTCGTCCCCCCGCCCGCACCTTCCTCGTCCTCTCCGCCGTCAACTAACCCTGACAATTCTTCTGACCCACCACTTCCATCATCCTCCTCCTCCTCGCCCACTGTTCCAACGGCGGCCGCTCAGGCGACTGTCCCGCGCACAGCAACCGACACTACCACCACCTCCCCCGACTCCAGGGATGAGGATCAGGACTACACCTGCCCTCACTGCGACCGTACCTTCACCTCACACATCGGCCTCGTCGGTCACTTGCGAATCCATCGCACAGAGACTGGCGAACCAGTGCGTGAAGCACCAACCTACACCCACCGCACTCGCCTCCACTGCCCACACTGCCCTCGCACCTTCAGGCATCGCATGGGCCTTTTCGGCCACATGCGCATCCACGAGAGCGGCCTTGACCGCACTCCCGACGCACCCACCACATCCAACACGCCCACGATGCCCAGCACCACCCTCGCTCCATCGCCCTGCGCGCCCGTCACCACCTCCACGGCCTCATCTGCAGCTGACACCGACACCGCATACTTCTCATGCCCACACTGCTCACGCACGTTCACCTCACGATGGTCGATTTACCTGGTCATTGAAGGGTTATGGCCGTGGCTAAATGCAGGGCTGCTTCCCACACTTCTGGACCATAGGGTTTGTTTGCGTCTGCTACGCCATAAATCAGCAAACCATGGACCTCGCGTCTTGGTGTGCTCTGGCAGTTCTCTGGCGCCTGGTTTCCTGCCGGTAGATGCTCTTGAGCTCGCGCTGGAGATACAGGCCCTGAGAAGGTCTACACAGTCATCCTTTTTTTCCAACCCCTTGTGATGCTGTTGTTGGTCGAAATCCTGGTTAAGTGTTTGTTGTGGACCAGGAGGTGTGGTGGTACGCCTAGGTGCGGGTCCGGCCATGCCAGCCACCCGCGCTCTCCCCCGCCTTTGGTCTTCTTGACTATGTCTTGACACCGAGCTCAGGCGGGGGCGGAGGGGAGAGTGCAGTTGATGCTGTGCAAGTCTACTGCCACTTTAAACTAAGTCGAACACAAGCCACTGTGCCTGCTCTCAGATTGCTGTGAAGCAGCGCACGCTGTACATTGTCGACAGCGACGGCCTTACTGTCATACTTGAGCCATTTTCGCTATCTTTGCCTACTTTTAGGTCTTGTTCTTTAATTATGAATGCACAAAATAGTAGCTATATAAGTAGCTACACACTGCCCAGACTGCTAACGCTCTGCTCGTTCTGTCTTTAAATTAAGTGTTGACAGAAACTATGGCGCACAAATGATTGCTAATAGTCATTAATACTGCTTTTCGGGGCAAAAAATTGCAAGATTATGCTGAGAATCCTGTCTTCTACTGAAAATAAAGTGCTCACTTACAGCTAAACCTCACTTGACTTCCTCGGAACAAAAAATCAATGTTTACATAGATGAGGGTTTATTTTGGCAAATGTTTTCCGTTTAAATGAATATCTCTGTACTTAAAACACGCTCTGATGTATAGATGTGGTTGAGGAAAATAGGGAATTGCTTGAACACTAAGCAACGCTGATCTCCGCTTAAATTTATAAATTTTTTCCCCAAGAAAACTACTTAGCAACGTATACTGTATGAGAATAGGCCGTATTATAAACGTGTTAGGCGCATAAATAAAATGAGCAACCAGAAGACAAGGTGTCGAGCACACGTAGTCTTCAATAAATTATCCTCGGGCCAGTACAATTATATGGAAACGGGGTGAAAGCAAAAGCATGTCAGTGATAAGAGAAATCGGTTAAAGTTCGTCGTAAAACACATGCCGACTGTGAGTATACGGGGGAAGAGGTAATAAGAGTCAGTACCAGGGGCGGGGTGAGAGCAGAAGGGTACGGAGAGTTACAGCGTTAGTCGACCTTCAACTACTGTAGGTGTGGAGCCTGAACGTGGGTACTTCTATGCGCACAAGATTGGTTTTCGCAACCTGATGGCGGCCGCTTCTGCTGTCGCTAACAGGCGCTGGCCCAGTAGCTTAGGCTAGCTCGAGGGGACCTAATAAGTCACAGGAAAGCTTTAGCGGGGTCTACTGATATGTGTTTGCCTCTACCCCGTTCCCGTACAATTGTGCTGACCCCAGAAGAGTTTATCGAAAGCTACGCATGCTTGCCACCTCATCTTCTGACTACTGCTACGGGGATTTTCGCAACTCTAAAACGGGCAACTTTTGAGACGTTCTGGAATAACCACCTAGATTTCCATAATCGCATTTCATGTGCATATTTATTCGTTTGTTTTCATCCGGATTACTTCCAAAAATGAATATTAAACAGGGCAAAAGGGGTAAGTACGACGAGGCCTACATCTATTTCCTTGTGGATGATTTGCATATCCTTTCCCCCTCCTTGAGGCATCCAATGCTGCCCATCTTATGAAAAATATGCTGGTACACCTCGCCACCACAGAGTTAGCGAGCGCGCCAGTCTAGTCAGCTCTTCTTAAACCATAGCATATCACCCCGATTTCACGTGGGAAGCCTTTTCAGCCTTCAAAATTTCGCCTGTGAATATAAGTATTTTAGTCGGAAACGCTAGAGTCTTCTAACAACCTATTATAGGCAAAAATACAATTAACTAGGCCAGCTAATATTTGGATACAAAAAAACCTTGTGGCTTGCCTGCGCAGAGCTAAAATTGCCAGTTTAACACGAATTATTCGATGCCGCGCTGGGAAGTTGAAATCGAAGGAACCTCTGTTCTCTGCTGCAAAATAAATGCTGCCCAAAGGAGAGTTGAAAATGCTGCAACTCCCAAAAGCAAAAGTCCTAGTCGTTGAGAAAGAATCGAGCGGATAAATTTAATGCTTGCCTGTTAAATTAGTTCGTCCTGATGACTTTCGGAGCTTTTAATGACCGATTCTGACCTGCGTATGGGGACCCTGAGTCACGCAGAAATGTGTTGATAGGTGCTATCGGAAAGCCTTATTTGCAGACATTTATAGATATTTTCATTTAAATGAAGGCCAATTAATACCAAATTAGTCATACAAACGCCCAATCATCACAGTTGTTGGGTAGCCGCAGCGTGGACTGCAGGAGCCGTGAATAACCCACATTAAATTTAGTTAAATGTGGGATTTTTCATAAAATTCATCGTTTTCTCTGGAGGGCGAGGGAGGGGGAGATAGAGATAGCTTGAGGTTTTTGGGGTTTTCCAGATAAAAGCCCATCCAGCATAAAGCAACGTGCTAAGTAGCTCCGCATTTCCGTCTACATGACGACAGAACTGATACCCCTCGTTTATCTATCAATTGCTCCAGAATAGTGCGTTTTGAGGCGCAGCGACCTGCGCTAATTCAAAATGTTGCCATCTTACATTACCAGGCCTGTTGAAAAGTTCCTATTTTACTGGTATGGCAGCTTTTATAAATATCGAGAACTCCTCTGCTAACCCTCCGTTTGTGATCATTCATCTCACTGACTTCGTTCATAAGTTGGAAAGGAACGATTCGCATAGAATAAGAGTGAACTCCACAACAATGACACTGAGCTGAGACAATGAAGAGA